CTATCTATCTATCTATCTATCTATCTATCTATCTATCTATCTATCTAGTGATTGCATTGAAGTTCAAATCCCCCCTGACCAAGAGTTAATTGGATAAAGCTGTGCCATTCGTTCTTTCAACTCAAGCTACTTCAAAAGGGGTGTATGGTATCGATGAAAGATAGGGACCCTACCCATGCCTAACACTTTGAGCTCCTAGAGGAAAAGCATCTGCAAATAAATGTACAAAATCTGGCAGAACACAAATGAATGAAAGAGATTAATGAAGAGTTAAATATGTATACTATAAGAAGGAAAAGCAGGCAATTAGTCCTCAGTGAAGATATCATGATGTCACATATTCTGTTCCTCTGCAAATGCCACTACTTTATACTCTCTTACTTGTCCCCTTACTAATCTTCTTTTTTGTAGCCACACAGTCTCCGAGGAACATTTCATGGTACTGGAGCTATGAAAGAGGCTCTTGATGAGTTCCAGAATCTGGAGCCCACCTCCTTTAAACCATATGATTCTGTCCCCTTCATTTTTCCCAAATATAACTAAGAGGGTCTTCGGGAAAAATAAAAAGTCCAAGCTCTCTGCCACCTGCAGCACCCGTTCCCAGAGAAACTTACCTTTACAGAATAAACCAGGGCCGCAAACTCACCTTTATGGAATAAATCACAGCCACAATTCCGAAAGGTAGGAAACAGCAGAACATGGTGCAGATGGAGTAGCGCAGGTAGTCAGGCTCATTGGAGGTCTGGATGTGTGAAATAAAGATATCCTCCTGAGATTCAACAAATAGATCTTGTCGGGGCTTTGCAGAAGGTGGATCCTGGTACATCTGGTACTGTGGGGGTGCTGGCATTGAGGAAGCTGCCCCGTAGCCCAGAGAAGATGTTGGTTCAACATGGAATTTAAGTGAATCAGATTCTTCATGAGGTTTTTCTTCAGGGTAAGGGGAAGGATTTGCGGGGACAGGAATATGGGCTTCATAGCTTGGGTTGGTCATCATGCAGAGTTGCTCTCTCTCTCTCTTTTGTCACAGCCAGCGGGATCCTATCTTGGCTTCTGGTTTTCTTCCACTTCCACTGCCCTGCAGTGAAGCTGCTTAGGTTTTACTCCTTGGTGGTACCTAATGTCTGTTTTCCAACTCTTGTTTCTGTTCCTTTCTTGTACTTGGCAAGCCTTCTCTTGCTTGCTTGACGCGATACCTTATAATGCAGTTTGCTTCTTTTTTATCTTGTTAAGAGACCGCGCTACGCATTGCTCTGGCTTTCCAGCGGGATGACATCACCATGTCTTGGGGATCAGGAGTGGGTGGAATAAATAATTAGGCAGCCAGACTGATGGATACTGGACACGACCTATGGAAAGGGGTGCCAGGCTGGAGTTTGATGTAGAACATCTGTTAGTCCAAAGGCTAATTAAATAAGCCCAAATAAAATAAAATCCAAATAGATCAGGTTTATATGGGCATGTTCAGAATTTAATTACAAAAGTAATGGTCCAGTTTGGGGTGGGGGGTGGGGATTGCTGAAATGAAAAGGAGGTTTGCTTCAGGTGAAAAGACCACTAGGTAGTGAGGGTGGAGAAAATCTGGACTAAGGGTTTTAAGAAATACAATAATTGCATTTGTCCTCCCATTGAGAATTTTCCAAAATTCAAATAAGTGTCAACCTTTGTGCTCTGAGGATTCTATCAGTTTGGACTGGTTCAGGTGAACTGGATGTTAAATTTGCATCTGATTTGCCGAACCGTTATTTGAACCGACTGGCTGGCCCCTCCCACCCCTCCCCTCCCAGGAGACTCCACATGGCCCATTTTTGATGCAGGTAAGTGCAGGGTCCACGTGGAGGCTCTGGGAGGAAGAAAAATGGGCCTTCCGGAAGTCTGGAAACACACCTGTTTCTCACTTCTGGAGGGCCTCCAGAAACCTGGGGAGGCCATTTTTGACCTCCAAGAGGCCTGAGGGAAGCCTCTGGACCCTTGGGAAGGTGAAAAACACCTCTACCAGAAGTAATGGAAGTATCAAAAATTGAGAAACGGGGCCTGTTTCCGGCTTCCAGAGGGCTTTCAGAGCCTGGGGGAGGCCAGTTTTGATTCCCAAGAGGCACAAGGGAAGCCTCTGGACCCTTGGGAAGGTGAAAAATGGTCCTCCTGGAAGTTCCAGTAGGCCACGCCCATCATGGCCATGCCCACCCAGCCACTGGGCAGCGAACCAGTTGCTGGGATTTTTGAATCCCACCCTTGAGTGTAGAACACATGTTGGTAGGCCTCAGGCCTTTGTTTTTGTGCCCCTGTTGTAGGTAGATAGACTTTCATACTTGCACACACAAATGCACAGACACTGTGTCTCACATCTTTTAATAACTGAAGAATAACATTTCTGGAAATCTTCTGAGGATCCATCATTGACTTTATTGAACCCAAATGCTCAGGTGTCCTAAAATCCAGGAAGAGCAATCCAAGCACATGAGCAATGAGTCTCTCTCTGAAATCTCCATCAAGGAAAAGAGTGTTCACCCTCAAAGTTACCCACTCCCATTTAATTGTTTTCAGATTCAAGACTCAGATGAAAGGTGCAAACAGAGTAATTATTATTAATTCAAGTTGTATCATCCATCTCATCTAAGCAACTCTGCGTAGCTCTACTTTAGTCTATAATGTACAATTCAGTGATACATTCCCTTTAGACCTTACGTTGCTCCCTAGGGGCACAAATTACCAGTCTCGTCTAACTCCCGAGTGGCAGAATCCTACTACCTATAGCTCCCTTTTCCACATTTTTCCATCGGAAGATCTTTGTGGCTTTCAGTTGGACTACTTCCTTTTGCCAACAACATTTTCTGAGAGGGACAGAAGAGAAGAACTAATAACTGCTGTATAAAGGAGAAAAATCTCTTTTTGTGGCGGAGATTCTGCTTCCATTACCACTATCATTAATTACATTGCACCATTTTGCTTTGAAGTAGTCTGACACTGCTGATTCAATCAGTTTATCTGAATTATGCTTTGCATGGAATATTATGCCAGTGCATTGTCTGTTTCTGCCTAGTTTTCCATTTTGTGAAGTTACTGAGAGTTAATACATTTCCCCACATGCATTAACTCTCTCCCTACTTATTGTCATTTATAGAACTGATTTCTTCCAAACCATCTTGATAAGGTTCCTCACTCTAAGCTAGTTTAAGGAGAAGCAACTGATCCAGCATTTTGTGGTACAGTATTCTAACCAGATCTCAGCCCACTTGGATAATTCTGTAGCCTACATTTCACCAATTGTCTAGCCAAACATTATTGAGGTATTTGTCTACCACTGTCTCTTTTACAGCCTGAGACGTTAGGATTCTTCCTGAGCGTCTTTCTCTACCCATTATGCAGCTGCAGGCTAAGCCTTCTCTTATCTGATCATGAGAGGCCAGGTGAGGAGATGTGTGCCTCAATGTTGAGTTGGCCACACCCAGCCAGTCACATGACCACCAAGCCACACCCACCAACTAAACCACACCCACAGAACCAGTTGTTAAAAAAATTGAATCTCATCCCTGGCTGAAGGTTCTCAGAGGTGAGTCAGTTCAACGGAAACAACAGAAGGACAACATTGCAATAAAGGGAAAGGAGTTGTCCAAATAGATTTCCCACCTTCTTATGGAGAAGTATGGAAGTTCTTCGCCCTTTGTTCTATAAGGACTCTCTTGTCTTATAGATCAATCTCTCCTTAGGAAACCGATGTCCTTCCAGGGAAGACCTGCTCTCATCATTCAATTCTTTCCTTCAGCGATAAATTCAAGCCAGCCAGGGGAAAAAGAAAAAAGAATTGTGCTGAGAGGAGTCAAAATGCTTTGCACATTGCATATTGTATACCTCAAGCCAACATAGGCATTACAATAATTACAGGGCTTGAAATCATGCCAGTCTTTATATTTTATTTTATTTTTTCTTAAATACCAAGTAGCCATTTCAGTTTAGGAATTGTGGGTATGCGATGAGGAGTGCTTTAACTCTTCCCTCCTTGGCTATTTTTAATGAAAATAATTCTTACTCCACTGCAACCAGGTGTATGCCCTAAGATACCAAATTCTTTACTTTTGATTTATGGCAACACTGGGTCTTATATGCAATGATAATATCTTATGGAAGATTGTTCCAGAGACAATATGAGGAATATCCTTATGGCAGATTTCAGCTCTCACATCTAGTGTGTTGCATCCATTTCAAATGAATGAGACTTAGAAATTATGACATGTATTTTAATATAAGAAGTGCTGCTCACCACTAAATGAGCCAATGCTTCACATGTGGCCTCAAAACGGATACATTGACCTTTTCCCAAGCTATTGTTTCAATCTGGGGATCGATAAGAATCAGAATTCTCAATTAATAGGATTTCAGACTGCCCAATACTGTCTTCAGTGTATTATGGGGTAGTTCTTAGGTGTGGCCAGCAAAGCATGTGTGAACTTGTGGGAAGTCTGAAGGACCGGCCTAAGGTTAGATTCTGCACCAAGCGTTTTACACGATTTACATTAATTCAAAGAATGTAGTTTGATTTTAGAGAGTTTGATTTTCTGACTTCTCTTCCTTGTATTAAGACCAGAAACCATTTAAGATAACATGCTGTCTTCAGGGATTGTAATTTCCAAAGCCACCCTGATGAACTGTTGTAACTGTGGTCACACATTCAATGCTGGACAAAGACGAGAACAATAGTCACTGTGGTAAGTATAATCCCCAATGCAACGGCGATGTGATCCAAGATGAGTGCCACTGTGGAATATCTCTTAGCAGATGCGATATCTCCCCGTTGATTGGCCCCTTGAGTCTGAGGTGGGGGGGAAGGGAAAGAAAGAGGTAAAAAGAATATTATTGAGACCCATATAATTAGTCAACTCTGGGCATGTGGAAGAGCAAAGAGGAGAGAAATGTCAAAGCATGCATGAGAACACGATTTTTAAAATGGTGAGTGTGAAGGCAGAAGGATAGAGGAAAAGAACAGGAGGAGAAGAAAGCATGTAAGGAAGAAAGAGGTAAAGAGGAATGCACTATATACAAAGTGAAACGAAAGATTGATGAACGTAGTATTTATTCTCTCTCTCTCTGTGTGTGTGTGTGTGTTTGTGCAAAGACCGATCTTATTGCAGAAGGGACAAGATCAGCCTGGGTCTCAAATTAATTCAGTGGAATCCCTTTTTATCCATTTGGTACACTTGTACCCATATACCCTATTTTAGAAATGAAAGTCTTTGATAACTATTCCGATCGATTTAGCTCATCAGACTGAATGGAGGGTTTGCACAGGACTTTGGGTGATGTGAGAGTTTTTAAAGCAATTTGCACTAAAAACAGAGCAACAGCAATGACAGATAAATAGATTTCGTGCAGAAAAAAAAAGGACTCCTTTGCAAAAGGAACCTGGCAGCTGCAGGGGATCTATTTATGTTTGAATCAAGTGCTTACATGTCTTTCGACCACACGTTCAAGGCAACAGGTTATTGGGGTGCTTAAATCTCACCCATGGGGCTGCCCTGGAAACAGTGAAGGACTGGCCTGCGGTGCCTCTGCTACTGAAAAGGGGGCTCCAGATGGCTGTTCATTTCTCTCCCAAGCCCTCTTTTCGCTGGGAAAGTGCTTGGGCCATCATAGGCGCTCCCGACATGAGTGATGTTAAGCTGGCTATGCCCACCCTGACCCACCCACCCTCTTGAGGTCAAACACAACCCTGATGTGGCCCTCAATGAAATCAAATTTGACCCCTCTGTCCTAGGTTATTTGCACACGCTGACTAATCATGGCATCAACATTCCTGCTAAGCCACACGGTCTTTGTTACAGGTATTCATACCTTCTTGCAATTTTTTGGATTATCTCTCTTGCTCAAATCTTCTGTCAGAGGGTACAAAGTTCTATTTATTTATTCATTTGATGCCCCCCTCAGTGTCAAAATATTCATAGCGGCTTATAAGATAATAAAAGCGTATATGGAATAAAAGCAATTAAAACGGGCAAGAATTAAACAGCAACAAAAAACCAAGAGGACAAACGGTTATGTGGGTTTGTCTCTTCTCTCTTTTTCCCATCAACCTCCTCCGAGTGTCTTTATCAGGGCGCCAAGCCAACTGACAGAGCCGAGATTTAAGGCTCTTCTGAAAGGCCAAGAAAGTGGGGACGGATCTCACCTCTGATGGGATGTTAGCCCTTGAACCCGTTCTGATCAGGAAACAGGTGTCTGGAACTCTTCCTGAGTAATGCAGGCTACACTACCAGTGGTGGGATTCACATAATCTAACAACCGGTTCACCCAGGGTCAAATTGGCTGTCGTGGAAGGCATGACCCAACCTGGTCCCCCAGTTCTGGCACACACATGGGACAAATCTCCCACAATGGTCAACCTGACCCTATGCAAACCGGTTGTTAAATTAAAAAAAAAAAACTTATTTCAGCTAACATTCAAATCAGCACGTTTAATGCACTTCTCTGATATATGTCTTGACCTTAAAAAAATCATGATAGTTTGATATCTGAAACACTTTAAAAATAAATATAATATGTTTGCTGGAAGGAATCATATTCTATTACAGGTCATCTTGTCTCGTTTAATGAACAGCTCAAGTTACACTGGCACTGAAAAAAAGTGAAGTACAGCTGTTCCTTGCACTTATGGCGGTCATAGCATCCCCATAGTCAAGTGTTCTCTCCCTCTCCCTCTCCCTCCCTCTCCCTCTTCCTTTCCCTCCCTCTCCCTGTCTCAATGAAACTCACCAGTATGGAATAAACCAAAGCAGCTATGCCCAAGGGGAGGCAGCAGCAAAGGAGGGTGAAGATGGAGTAGCCCAAATAATCTGGTTCATTGACAGGTTGGACATTTGTGATGAGGATGGTTTGTTGAGGCTTCACAGCTATGGCTCCAGCAGGTCCAGCATAAGGTTGGTACTGGTATGGCATAGTGGGATATGGCTCATACATTGGAGGCGGTGGATTAATAGCTGATTTCATGGGATCAGGCTGATGTCCAGGATGAAACGATTCATTTATTTGAGATGTCTTCTCGTTCTCTGGATAGCTCATCTCGCAGCCTGCTCTCCTTCCCTTCCCTTCCTTGAAGTTCTGCAATGTCTCGCCTCGCTTCTCAGCAGACTTTTCTTCTTCTTTATTTTTTTCCTCAAATGCTCCCCAAGTCCTGCTGATCTTTTTCTATTGCTTTGGTTGCACTTTTATCTCTTCTTGCTTTGGTAGAGTCCACGGGTGGGATTCAAATTTTTAAACAACTGGTTCTGTGGGAGTGGCTAGTTGGGCATGGCCATGTGACTGGATGGGCATGGCTTCCTCCTCCTCCTCCTCCTCCTCCTCCTCCTCCTCCTCCTCTTCCCACTTTTTGTCTCCTGGACCTCAGGCAAGCCTCCTGGGTGAAGGAGTAAGACAGTGAGGGGGATTCCGGCACAGCCGATCATTGGAACAGCTGATCATTGCGAAGGAAGAAAAAGGAAATTCTCTAAGGAGTTACTGGGCGGGGATACTGCTGTCAATGATGTCAGGCAGGTGCGCGACGTCGCACACGTGCGATAAGGACTGACTGGGCAGGAAGGGAAGGGTGGACGGAGAGGGGCGGGGCCAGCCAGAGCCCGATTGGCCGGTTTTCTGAACTGCGTAGAACCATAACAACCAGTTCTATAGAACTGGTCCGAACCAGTAAACTCCCACTCCTGCTAGCGTCCTTCTCTCATGGACTGAAACTTCTTCGGTCGGTAGGTTGGCTTCAAACAGATGGTTTACTTTAGGGGAGACTTGCCCCACTCTCGGAAATAACAGTTCCTTAATTTTCATAGAATAAGATTTGTCTGGTGGGGGGAAATGTGGCAACGAATGAACGAGGATGGATCTGGACTGGGTGGGGCAGCACTGGCAAAGAACGGATATTCCCCTAGAAACAGATGATGTAAATCCAGTTCCTCAGTGTCCCCCCCCCCCACCCAGTAAGGGAGAGTTAGAGAAGCTTTTCCTACCAAACAGGCCTTCCACTTCACAACTGAAAATGGGAACAGGGTCTGGACATTTATTTCTGGGTCCAGTGTTTCCCTCCACCATCTTACTGACTGCTCAATCTCTTACACAGTGGCTGGATTTATCGCCTCCCACTAACTGGGAAAAAGAAAAAAACAACCCTGTCACCAAACATATAAGGATGTCATTGCACAAAACTTCCTCCAAGCAACGGATGTGCACCTTTTGCAATCGTCTTACAAGGGAGGCCAGCCTATAAATACCAGGATATCCCTTACTTAGGACTGCAACTGAGTCCAAAGTTTCTGTAATTGTGAGACATTTATTAAGTGACTTTTGCCCCATTGTACAACTTTTTTTGGCCACAGTTAGCAGCAGCAGTAGCACTTAGACTTATATACCACTTTACAGCCCTCTCTAAGCAGTTTACAGAGTCAGCATGTTGCCCACAACAATCTGGGTGCTCATTTTACCAACCTCTGAAGGATGGAAGGCTGAGTCAACCTGGAGCCTGGTGAGGTTCGATCTGCTCAACTTCTGGCAGTTGTTAAGCGATTTGCTGCGAATGATAAGTTAGTAACCTGTTTGTTAAGTGAAACTGGCTTCCCCATTGACTTTGCTTGTCAGAAGGTCACAAAAAGGGATTGCGTGATCCTGAGACACTGCAACTGTCATAAATATGAGTTGGTTGCCAGGCATCTGAATTATCATCATGTGACCATGAGGATGCTGCAAAGGTTGTACCTGTGAAAAATGGTCATAAGTCACATTTTTCAGTGCCGTTGTAACTTTGAATGGTCACTAGATGAACTGTTGTAATTAAGCAAACCCATTGTTCACCGTGGGCCAATTTTTGCCAAACATTGGAGGTCACCTGGAAGAAAACACCAGTTTCTGGCAAAAAGAAACTTTGTAAATTACAATCATGTGTCTGCAGGACACTGGAAACAACTGTAAATATGGGCTGATGTTGAGTGGCCATAATGCAGTCATGTGATTGTGGAGGGTGGGCAGGGGAGGACGGAGGTTGGACCATCAGAATGTGAATCCTGCTGCACTCAGCTTCCTGGATCCTGAAGAAGGGGAACTCTTTGTGGACGCTTTACCTGGGAAGCAGCAACACCTTTGGCAAAGTTTGTTGTTCTTCATAAAATGGTGAAAAGATGGGTTAGATGGTATTACTGTTGGATGGAGTCAAAATTGGCTGATTGATGGTGTCAGCGATGCACCCGTAGCAAACAAGACTCCGAGGAAGGTAGACTCCTCAAAGAATAGTTTTATCAGTTCTATCATATTGGCACAGATCTGAGAAAACCGACTCTGAAGGTACCAGAAATTTTCACCTAATTAAAAGTCATAGTTTTTCCCCTTTTCCAAAGCAATCAGTCACGTGCGCCAATTGAGGTGCCACCTGGTTGCCAGGTAACACCACTCCTCTCTCTGACCACCTGTGGAAATGCCCTTGGTTCCCAAGGGAAAGTATTTTGTTTTGGATACCAAGCCGCAGCTATCTTTATCCCCCCCATCCCTATCCCTCAGCTCCAGTGTGGCAACACTGGAGTGACCAAATTAATTGTCATAGAATAAGATTTGTCAGGTGGGTGGAAATGTGGCAACGAAAGAACGAGGATGGATCTGGACTGGATGGGGCAGCACTGGCAAAGAACGGATATTCCCCTAGAAACAAATGATGTAAATCCAGTTCCTCAATCTCCCCCCATCAGTAAGGGTGAGTTAGAGAAGCTTTTCCTACCAAACAGGCCTACTACTTCACAACTGAAAATAGGAAAAGGGTCTGGACACCCCCTACATTTATTTCTGGGTCCAGTGTTTCCCTCCACCATCTTACTGACTGCTCAATCTCTTACACAGTGGCTGGATTTATTGCCTCCCACTAACTGGGAAAAAGAAAAAAAGAACCCCGTCACCAAACATATAAGGATCTCATTGCACAAAGCTTCCTCCAAGCAACGGATGTGCATCTTTTGCAATCGTCTTCCATGGGAGGACAGTCTATAACTGTCAGGTAGTCCCTGACTTGCAGGGACACTGCAACGGTCATAAACACGAGTTGGTTGCCAGGCATCTGAATTATGATCAGGTCATAACTGAGAAAAATGGTCGTAAGTCACATTTTTCAGTGCCGTTGCAACTTTGAATGGTCACTAAATGAACTGTTGTAATTAAGCAAACCCATTGTTCATCGTGGGCCAATTTTTGCCAGAAATTGGAAGTCAGCTGGAATTAAACGCCACTTTCTGGCAAAAAGAAACTTAACGAATCACAATCATGTGACTGCAGGACACTGCAAACAGCTGTAAATATGGGCTGATGTTGAGTGGACAAAATGCAGTCATGTGAGACCCTTTACCTGGGATGTTTTTCCCTTTTTCCCAAATAGTCACATGGTCCAATCAAGGTGCCACCTGGTTGCCAGGTAACATCACTCCTCCTCTCTCTGACCACCTGTGG